CTGTCTCGGCTGTTCTGAAAGTTGGGTTGGTTACTTATGCCAATTATGTTCCCTTTTGGACTTCTTTCAAAAATATCAACCTTTTGTCTAGCTGCATTTCCATAATTGTAATTAATTCTCTTTCAGGTTCCAGTTTTATCTTTTGGCCTCTGTCCCTCTTTCCTTTTAGACTTCAGTGTCAACAGGGACTTGCCTGCTGTTGGGAGGCTGTCATGCTAATTCAGTCTTGCTCATATTGTCTGAATTGTACTCTTTCATTCAGAGCAATGGACTAATTCAATTAGGCACATCTGGGGTTTTCCCATTACAATAACATGTTTATTACCTGTAACTAAACCTGTAACCTGGAACTGTTGTACCTCAGATGCAAGCTGGCCAGGTAAAAATATCCCTTTGCATCCCACTGTTTAAAAAACATAGGGTCATCTCTCTCCCTATGGGCTTCGAGACTGGAAATTCAGGGCTCCAGAGACATGTCCTGTAGAACGTGCTTTAAGAGCTTGAGTATTGGCTGTTAATTCGCTTTCAGTTCTAGTGCTTAAACATAGGAAGCTTGTGTGGACTTATAAATGAGGATGCTTCAACGCTGTGACTATTTGGAGGAATTTAGACAACTTGTTTTGTTAGAAACTTGGAAGAAACACCCGTGTCATATGCCAGCATGGCAAGTATGAACTGTCAGAGTGCAGGGTGCCCATGTGAATATGAATGTCAGCCTCATTTGGAAGGGGGCAGTGAAGGCTTCTGCTCCAGTGTGGGAGGAGACCATGAGCTGAAGCAAGGAGAAGCTGGAGGACGAGGCACACCAGATGTGCTGATGGGAAGATGCACCTTCCTCGTGGGATGCAGTACTTGGAGGCACTGCCAATCTGAGAGTCCTGTAGCACGGAAGGGTGCTGGTGCTGTTAGGTAGGACCCAGCCTGGTGCAGTTCTGTTCTCCCCTATTAAAGGAAGAGGAACTTGGAAGCATGCAGAGAAGGAGGGCTGCAGAGGTGGTGAGAAGGCTGGAGTGCTGTGGGAGAGGAGACCTGATGAGTCGTAAGGGGGATGTGACTGCTCCCTGTAAGTGCCCTTGTGAGGGAGGAAAAGACTTCTTGCAACTGATAGGGAAGGCTGGCACAAGAATAAATTGATATAATCTGCCCGTATGGAGTTATACAAGTATGTAAATAGGCAGAAGAAAGCTAACTTGCTTTGGGACACTGTTAAAACATCCTATCTGTGCTCTCTCTTAGTGTATTACTACTAATTACATCTGCAACTTTAGAGCCATGTGGACAGAGGGGTGGAAGACAACCGAAGCAGTCCCAGGTCATTTTTTCTACAGTGCACATCAGAATATTCCTGTTCCATTGAGCAGAAGGCCGCGGAACTCGCTCAGCTCGGGCTGCTTTCTGCCACATTCTAATGGCACTCTGAGACGTGTATGTGGTTGAGCAAGAGCAAGTATTGATACACAACTGTGCCTTCCCACAGAGGTTTAGCAGGCTGTAAGTAATGCCTGAACATTTCTGTGTACTATACCCATCCACACTGCCTCAGGATTTCTCATCATTCCCTAATTTTATTAGGAAAAGCTGCTAATAGCTGCATTAGCAGAATATTAACATTCTTACCTACTTATGTCTGAGCTTTCTGGTTACAGAAGTGGAGGCTGCTGCTGTGTCTTGTGCTCTAGGGAGTCTTATCTGCCTAGAAGCAAAAATGTCAGTTTTCCTCAGTAACAGCGAGATACAGCACTGTGTGCACACAGAGAATAGCAAATTGAAGACAGAGCTGGCTTTAAGCTATTTTAGCAGTTTGTCTAGAGTAGCTAAGCAATTACAATGTTCAGAATAGCCTTCAGGACTTGATGAACCTACTTTCTTCCTGCTTCAAACACTGCCAAAATACAAAGTACATCCTCCTTCCAGGCTTGAAAGATTTTGTGTTATTTTATTTTCTCCAGGGTTTTCATACTACAGAAGTGGATTCCATTTGGTTTGTTTACTGGCAATAACAATGTGGGAAGGGCTGTGTTTTCAGACCAAGCATCCATCTACTTTATCTACTTTGTTAGCAGAGCTTTGGGGCTAAAAGTATGCAGGGAAGGTGTGAACCTAATAATAATTCTCTCCTAGCATCTGCCAGTCAATAACTTAAGAGCTTCTCCAACCAGAAGTTGCATCCAGATCACTGAATTAACATGCTATCTGATAAGGGTGTGTGTTTTTAATTATTTATTTTTATTATAATTCTTTATTTGTGCTTTTGACTGTATGTGGGAATTGTCTTCACAAGATAATTGCATTGCTGTAAGCTGCTTGCTTGAGACTATCAATGGATGTTGCCAATTATATTATAGAGACAAAAAGGAAGCTTAGGACAGTTTCCTCAATTGCCTGTTCCTATTTAGTAGGTAACTCTTGCATCTTTTCTTCATACTTTTGCAGTATTATACTATTTTTTTCCTCTATGCTGCTTTTTCTTGGCATTTGTTTTTACTGTCATTGAAAATAACTAAGGATGTGCCTGATACGGCAGTACTTATTGATAAATTCTGACTTCTGAATTTCCTTAAGAGGCTGAATCAGGGCTCACCCTCCTGCTGGAAGCTGTTTGGCATTTTTGGTAAAACACTAGCACTCTGTTTGTGCTCGTGTATGTATGTACAGTGGAGAGGTTGCTTGAGGCAGGGCAGTGAATTTAAAAATGAAAATATGGATAGAAAGCTTGCAGTATCTGCAGTAATAAATATCCAATAAATAAATATCACTATTTGCTACAATGTTCTGACCATCCCATATAGCATGATCTTCCAGGGCACCTTCCATGTTAGAAGATGCTTCTTTGCAGCTCCTATCAAGAATAACGGGTTAATAGGAAAGGAAAATAAAGTAATTAGTATTTAATGATGTGTTACCTGGTGCAGTGTGATCTATGAAGAATTAAATCATAGAATGCTAACAGCTTATTTCATTTTTCTCTGACTTGTAAATATAACACATTGTTTTGAATGTAAATGTGTTCATCGGGTTATATCTGATAGCTTCAGGGTGATATCTTCATCCAGCAGAAATAATCTGCGAACCGAGCTGTGATGGTGGTTGTTGTAGGGTACAACATAAAACTCCTCTGAAACTCCCCCAGGAAGCTGCAGGTTTCTGTGGCTGTTATTGTTTTCTGGGGGGAGAAAATAGGCGTTTTATCCATTTTTTGGTTTTTGCCTTTGGTGTGCATTCTGTTTTGTTTTCCTCTGGCCAGGGGGTGTTGAGGGCATGGCGGAGCTTTAGAAGGAAGCTAGGAATTTTCCTGCGTTCTTCTGGATATCTGTTGAAAGTCCCCCCAGCATTTCCCCTGCAGCCTCCAGGAAGCATTGAACGATGCACAGTAACAAATTTTCCTATGTCCTGTTCCAGACTTTTTGAGACCACTATTTTAAGCTCAGGAAGATGTTGTTCATGGAGGACTGGGAACATGGGTGCATACTTACTGTGCAAAGGGAGAGGTGTCCCATGGTTTGCACAGCAGGCAGGGAGCCGAGAGCTCCGAACCAATACCGATGCCGAGATAGTCCTGTAGTCATTCCCCTCCTCTCATTACACCTGGGAGTGAATGACACCTCTTGGTGGAGCATCACTGCTAAGGAGCTCTGGCGTCCTCAGCTGAAGGTGTTGCTAGCACAAAATTTGAATTTACCTCGGAACGATCCTGCAGTGGGTTTGCTCATTTTATAGCTAAGGTTTGCAGTTGCTGGGTATTGTCAGTGCTTGTCTTCCAGCATGCTGCAGTCTAGCATGACGTGTTGACTGCAGAAAGCCTTTCTGTTTGTGTTAGCAGTAGCTGATAAGTAGTGATTTCTCCAAATGACAAGAGCGTGCGTCAGCTTCGCTTGTAGTTTGTCTCCCTTCTAAGTTGTATGAGCCTGTATCATGTGGCTTTACTTCCTTGCATGCACTGGGCAAATTCCAGCCCTTACTGTGGTGCTGTGACAAGGCTGCAGAGATGAGATTGCAGCTGGGGATGCTCTGGGGTGCTCGTGTACAGGCCAGGGGAGCAGTGAAACAACTGGAAAATGCAGTAGATGAGAGATGTGGAGCATTGCGGATGGAGCCTGCTTGGTCCCTGCAGTGCCGGCCAGCGCTGTGTCCCCTGGGGCTCCATCCTAAGCAGTGCAATTTATGTAACTCTGAGTGCTTGTGCCCCTTGTGCCATGCTCACCAATTGCAGGAGCATTAACTTGGCTTAAAAAAGCACAGAATATAGCCAGTAGCATAGTAATTTTATAGCCACCAAGAATCAGTGCTCAGGATCTCACAGGACACTGCCTGCTCTTATAAAATCGAGTGTTTGGTTGCGTACAGCCTAAACCCTTTGCATGCTTTGCACCCTAACTGGCCTGATTCTGCAGGGTGAAACTCGCTGTCTCCAGTCAAGTTAGTGAAAGAGACAGGAGGGGATGATGTGACAGACGAGCTCCAAGTCGCAGGATCACTGCAGCCTTTCAGTGATGCAGTACTTCGTGTGAGAAGCAAGTCCAACTTGAAGCGTGTTCCGCTAACACAAAACCCGGGGGAAAAAACGGGTGCAGTTTCCAGAGCTCCCCTTGCTCTTCGCAGAGCCGTGGCTGCAGATGCTGGCGTCGCTCCGGAGCGAGGGTGTTTTCTTTGTCTCTCCTGCATTCAGGCTGCCTCCCTCGCCCTTTCTTTGGCTGGAATATGGTAATCGGGTTCGGGCTGAGCGCCCCAGGTGCGAGGAGGGTTTCCCTGGCCTGGCCTCGCGGGGTCTTCGCGGGCGTTACGCGCTCCTCCTGCCCGGGGCGTTCTCATGGCTCCGCTGTGCATGCGCGGCTCGTGGCCGGAGCAGGCGCTGCTCCCGCATTCCCACAACAGCAGCAGCACCGAGCAGATGCTGCCAGGCTCTCTGTTGCACTGTGCATTTCAGTTCTGAAGAAAGTTGTCTAGGGTTAGCTCTGGATTTGTATTTTTCTGTCTTTGCTTTTTATGGATAACGGAGATCTCATCATTCCTCTCAAAGAACACCGCTGGCAGTGTTCTCCCGTGCTTTGAAGGATTGCTTTCCAAATGTTTTATCTCTGGAGACACGAAGATTAAACCGAGGCTTCTCTGCACTGAGAATTTCCATTGTTCTTGCCAATAATGCATAATAGTCACAAATTTAATGGCAGACCTTGAAGTATATAAAAATTTAAGTCCAGAAAAAGGTAAGGAATATTTGGGTTTAGAATTACTGTAGGAAGAATGCATACATTTCTGGAATGCTTATATATAAATCAGATATACCGTATTTCATGATTGGTAAGTTGCCTCTCATATTTGGGCATTATTAATATGAAAAATAATGTATGTACTTGTATAGTACTGAAAAGAAAAACTTGGTGTTTTTGTACCGAGTACATTTCTCCATGAAAACAGGTGGGTTTGTATGTTGGATATTGATACTATGTTATAGGCAAGCTGTGTATGTGTTATCTCACAAGTGTCTTTGCTTTTATAAATAGTCCTGATCTCTTCATTTTCAGGTCAGTTTGCCCTACATACATTTTTCCATGGAAAAGGGTTTCTGTTTTTCCAGTAGCACTTAAATTATGTAACATATATGCAAATGATGTGTAAAGTTCTGATCAAACAACACTGAATGAGAGCCTTACCAAACAGAAGGATACAAAAGGAAGACAGCTTGAGTAACTTCAGTGTTTTCTGACTTATAATCTCTGATTTTTCCACCCATCACTGACTTTAATTGGGCAAAATAATAATTAGTTTAAGTCTGCAAGTGAGCATAGAGTAAATGCTATAGAGAGAAGGGGGAAATCATGTGTTAAATTATTTCTGTATTATGCTTGCCATCAGTAATGGTGCTAGGCTGTGTATTTCTAAGGAAAAGCTGAGAAGAGATGGACAAGCCAGCTCTTTGCAAAATATCTAAATTGAATAGTTCAGAAGACACTTTCTAACAATATTATTATTCCTATAACTTTCAGAAAGTGAAATAACCTGATCTAAAATAAAGGCACCAAAAGTCATGTGGCTCATGCTCTGAAGTATCCCTTTGCTCCCTCGAAGAAGCACGGTTAAAAAATTAAGGGTATAGTTGGGAGTTGATATACTCGTTCTTTATAATTGGGAGTTGATATACTCGTTCTTTGTATTTAGCATGGATGATTTTTTGATAAATGTATACTTTGGACAGACTGTTTTTTAGTAACAGCTGTCTCTATTTTCAGGGATGTTCTCTAAATAAATAAATGAGTGAGTTGTATGTCCTCTTGGGAAGGGCCTTTTCGGTTGAGGAGTTGCTATGCTGCAGCTGCAAGGACCCTGTTTGCATTTTGGAGGTTTCTGTGAAGCTCAACTCGGCATTAAGTTTTGATGCATCTGACTAGCTAAAGGAGACCAGTTGTTACCCCATCTGTTTTCTGAGGAAGGGAAGGTAATAGATATGTCCCCATTTAATAATTTACACAAGCTAGCTTTCTAGAAGGGATTTTTTTTTTCCAATAGTCCTAGAAGAAAAGCATCGTGTTTTATTGGCTTATTCTTCTATAGCTTTTACAAATGTATGTGCATGTATGGATAAACACGTTTCAGACTGAGCTATTCAGTTGCAGGTGAATTTCTATTTCAGATAGCTGCTTAGTTGCATTTCCGTAGCCAAATAACGTAGCAACTGGCCAATGTACACTTGTTGAGGTCTTTTTTTTATTAATTAATGCTACCGTTTCTGGTGTGTGTGCCGCTGTGCCCCCAGCACACGGCTGCACGTGGTGGATGTGTTTGAAAAGCAAACAGCCGGTCCGTATTACTGCACCAGCTCAGTGTTCAGCCCAAATCAGTTCTGACGGGAGAGACGGAGGTTCCTGCTTCGTAGGGAGAGGAACAGCGGGAGGAGGAGGGAGCTCTGGGACTTCTTTTGGCTTCGTCACCGTAAGGGCTGGCACTGGCCCTCGCCAATGGGGAGCGTGCCCAGGTTTAAGAGTGCAAGCGTGTAAAAGCTTAGAGCAGCTCTGGGGTTTCATCCTTGTAAACGGGTCCAGGCCCTGGGGAGACCAATGGTGCCCCTCGTTGTTTTGTCCTTCTTGGCAGAACTCTGCAGTTGCAGCCAGTACACTTAAGCAGAGAAAAAGCAGTTAAAAGCAGGGACCATCTTGGGAGCCTTTACTAAGGCTAATATTAGTGCTTTTTTGAGAGCTCTGGAATCTTTATCCGACACAATATAGGCGCTAACATAGTAAGGGATATATACTGGACTGAACCTCAGAAGTTGAGGAACATGCAGGAACATCAATGCTGGGAAGAACTGAACTTGCAAGGGGAGAATGTGTGTTATTTTTCTACATTACATTTTGAAGTAGTTATGTAAGAAGTTTGCGTCTTAGAAGACGGTCTATTAGCATGAAGGCATAGCCTTGTCCTGGTCAGTCTGCTTTGTTGATAGAACTTAAAATTGTGAGACATTTTTTAATCCAAGTGGCAAAAAAACAGCTATAGAATCAACAGTTAATGTGATGTTTGGGAAATAAACTGGTACATTTTAGGGACTTTGTTACATATCACTAATAGAAATATTAGCCAGTGTGAAAACTTAAAATATGCATGCAAAAAAAATAGTATTTTGTTTGCATTAATGCATTTATTTTGGTGTTTGATGATGTTAGTTCATTGCTTGTCAACAAATGACTGTCAGTGACTTGTGCTGGGGCAGTTTGTGAACAGTAGAGGTAAATGTCACCAAAATGGCTGTTCCTGTGGTGTATGAACACACAGGTTTGTATAAGTAATTGATTGAATGATAGACTTCATTAATTACTTTTAAAGGTTAATTAACTCTGCCTTCAGCTCAGCTGCTCTTCCCCTCCAGCTCTGATCGAGCCCCAGCTGTGGATTTACTCAGTGCCCCTTGCACCTCGGGGCTGCCATGGCCCAGCGTGACGAGGGCTTTCCAGGCACCGTGCAGGGGATCCCTCTTCCTCTGCTCTTTCCCCAGCTACGGCTGCTCTCGTGCCCTCTGGCTTGTTCTTCTCACTGCTGTATGATGCTGTAAAGGTGCCAAGATTGCCCTGATGCGTTGCTGTTTTCTGGTGGATTTGCACACAGCAGAATTCCACTGTTCTTCTTGGAGCTGGATCACTTTCTTCATCCGCATGTGTCCTATATAGGCACAGGGGCAAACTCTGCAGTGTATCCTGATGGCATTTTTTGGATTTTGTTTTCTTTGAAGTTGATGGCTGAGGTTTGTGTGGTATGTTGGAAAAGTCAGGTAAGGCCCAGCACAGTATGTTGCTGGTGGAGGTGTATTTTGGTGAAATACAGGATGGTGTGTGCATACAAGACTGGGGATCTGAGATGACTTTTGATGCTTTGCTGCAGGGAGGCAGGCTGGAAGCAAGACGTGCTCATGAGGTTCTCACGCTTATGATCCTCCTTCAGCATTTGCCTTCAGAGGTCAGACATGGGGACCTGGAGGAGGAAGAGGTTTGCGGAGAGCCCCCCAGCATTGCTGTCTGGTGACAGAGCTCCTGGAAAGTCTTTCACTGTGTGAGGCTTCAATGCAGGAGCTCCTGGCTCAGGAGAGTGCACAGGACCGAGCGCTGCAAACTGCCTCAGACACGGTAAACCTCTGCCCTCCCTGCGAAGGGATCCTTGGGCAGTGGGGAGGATTAGGATAGGGGAAGCTAACCAGTGTTTGCTTAACAAATCTGTTTCCAGTGAGGGTGTGACAATGTGTTTTGGCAGGTGGCTGCTATGTGGTTAAATGATTGTGCCTTTCACTGTGGCTAAAGGACTAATCCTGCGGTTTTGGTGGAAACTACCAGTCCCCAGCCGTGTCCCAGGCTGCAGTGGTACCAGTGATCTCAAAAGCAGCAGCAGTGGTGCTGTCCTGAGGGAAGGAGAGGATCTGGGAGCGTTTCAGGAAGCGAGAGCAGTAACCTTTCCCAGGAGGCTGCTGGGCAGAGAGCCCTTAGCTCCACGCAGTGACTTAGGTGAAGGAGCTTCCTTCTGGAGGGCACTTAAACCCGGGGTCTTGGAGCCCCGCTCAGGACCTCCAGCAGCTCCTGCAGGGCAGACTTCCAGAGGGCTGGGCCCGCTGAAATAGCGGATCATCAGTTGTTGTCCAAGTGAAAACCTGGGCTAATTTCTTGAAGATAAAAACGAGGTCGTCCGCGCTGGGGCACCTTGAGCAGCAGTGGAAAGCATGCATTATTCATGGTGTGTGGGGCTGCGCTCCTGCACTGCGGTTGCTGCCCTGAAGTCCAGGTCTCAAAAGGGATCACAGGCCCTGGAAATGAGGCACTATCCTACCGCGCCGTTCTCTGTATTGCATAATCCTGTCTAGCAGGTAATCCCACTGTAGGGACAAGATTTGTGAATAAGGATCTTTAAAACTCCTCTGGGATCTTATTATGGTACCAGTCTTGTTCGGATTCCTCTGCTCGCTTTGCAAGGTGCCAAAACTGGAAAGGACTCTGGGTGCTACCATAGTAAGAATGGTAATGTTAACCCTAAGTACTGTCAAAGTCAGTGTTAGAGAAAGTATAAGGCACAGAGTTTCCACCTGTGTATTTGTATATACATATATATATGTGTGTGTACATATAGTAGTTGCATGGAGCCAGTAATCCCAGTTATGGTAGGCTGAAGGAGCAGTTCCTGTGAAATAGGTATTCTAATACACTCAAACGGAGCTTCTGGGGACAGAAAGTTACTGCTCCCAAGTCACCTCTTCCCTTCCACACCAGGTGGCTCTTAGACTTGATGAGAGTTAATATTAGGCTGGTAGATGTATGTATATATATATATATATATTTTTTTCCAGTTTTGAAAGCCAAGTCCAGTTTCTCAAGCTTTACCCTTTTCTGGTTGGCATGGTATTTAGTGAATTCTGCCATGAGGGTTGTTTTTTCAGATTTCACTCAGTGATTTTCGCTGTCTGCAGACTGTTCACACCAGTTGTTCTGAGTAGCTGCAGTCTGGTGTTTAGCGGGCCCCTCTGCTTGTTTTGGGACTTCCCTGCCTCCCTGGGGGCTGGAGTGAAATACACTGTTCCTGGGTGGGCTGTGCCAGCGCTGGTGGCACCAGCTTCGCGAGTCCTTCCCGGGTGTCCAGCTTGCTCAAAGACCTGTGGAGATTTGTGGAAGTGCGGGACACTGTCCATCCCATTCACCGACTTTTACTGGGATTATCATTAAATCCATTGCAAGAA